AAAAAAAAAAAAAAAAAAGTTAAAAATGCAACAGTTATAGGAGTTTCAAACTTACTCACTATAAGAATGAAGAATTGGAACAATGGAGAATTTGTCCATGGGTCAAATTGAAATCAGAAGTGTTTAAAAAGTACCTACTAATATATACCTCATAATATTAAGATATGGTAAATAAACTGAGTGTTTCTGAATTTAATTATATAGCATAAGGAATATTAACCAGTGGTACAGTGTTAAAATTGATGATGTGTGTATGTATGAGGAATTTATCAAACAAGTAAATGGGAAAGTCAAATCATAAAATATTTTATACAGTAATTTTATTAAATTTGCATGCATATTAATATTTAAATTACCATTTCTTCAGTTCTAAGTAGTACACGGTTTCACAATTAACATCTTTGAAATGAGGATGTCTTACATTGGGTGACATCTTACTCCTGGTATTGTTAAAATGGCGGTGAAGTCATGGCCAATCCACATACAAATTTTGTGGAACGGGTGGTCAGTATCAATTCCTTGATATTTCAGCAAACAAACCATTTAGGATCATTAGAAGAAGAACAACTCCTCTTGTTATCGGAGTACCTTCTATAGATATGATCTGGTAAGAGCAAGAAAGCATCACCATCCAAACGTACAATATAACAACATAAGCAGCTTGGAAGAAATTCCTAGAGACAGACATAGGGCATTCTGAAGAAACACGAATCCTTGGTACTTTTGATAGCCTGGGGGTTGCATGATGTGTTCTACATAGGCCAGGGAATGATATCTCAACATCAGTACACACTGAGTTGAAATTAATGTTTTAAAAGTCTAGTCTCATTGTAAAAAGATTTAGGAATATTCAAACGAGGTAAAAGTGTTTTGTTGTTTCTCTTAGTACATTATTGCATATATAATTTTAATGCAACATTAAGCTATTATTTCTAACTATATGATACATGTTATGCACATACACACATATTACTGAAACACTAGCATACTATTCACTCATGTGTTTGCTATAGTTTATTCTAGTGTGACAATTGTGGTTGATCTGCTTTTCTTTACTGTCTTGTGTTTTTCATATTTTTGCATTCTGAATTCCAGGCCATATTAAGCCTTTATGTTTCTGTTATTATACAAGCATCCTTTTTGTGATCTACTAACGCCTTGTTTTTCATATTTTTGTGCATTTTGTTGGAGATTGGCTATTTAAAATTGCCCCATATTTTTGCTGAAATGCAGTCTGGTACTCCCCAATGCAAAAATGCTGTTATGTTTCTCTCATAAAGTACTTGTGTTAGATAAGCTTTGTTGAGGCATGAGTTACAGTGCTTCTGAGCTTCAGTGCCATGTGAATGAATCAACAATGTAAATCAAGCAAAATGTCTTTAAGTAGAAACACACATCAAACAGTTATGTATTGATCATTATGATCTGATAGAAACCTAATCCTGTATTTCTCCTATGAACAATGGTTCAGCATTAAAACAGTGTTTAGGAAAATTTTCTGGAATATTCTCTATGAATAATGAGAATTGGCTGTGTTCTGTAACATTAAATTAAACAATCTGTGGTCATGTAAATGTAAAATTATAATAAAAATATATTTCAAAACTATAAAAAAGTTATTTCCAAAATACATATAAATGAATAATATGAATGAAAATATATGCATATAATATAGAGAAAATATTTAACATTTATTACATATATTTAATAGATTATTATTAAATTGCACATATTTGGCCCTCACATTTATATAATCAAAATTTTATATGCAATATACAATAATTCATATATTCCAAGTTGAGGGATGCATACACAAATACATCTATTGTAAATGTGTAAATAAAATTGAGTTGAAAAACATTACATAATTGAAAATAGTTGGCCCTTAGTAAAGAGCAAATTATATTGTCAGCAAAGGACAGATAGAGGTTATCCGATTAAAAATGTCTATTGGTTTTCTGAAGTCCCTAAAATTACCCAGCATTTGTAGAATTATGATTTCACATTTAGCATCAACCATAACTTATTATACACTTAGCCATATAGATAACTAAGCTAAGCATAGTAATGTTTTAATCATTACATTTCTTTTGTGAAGTCAATATTCATGGTGATTTTAAGATTTGAGATTTAGGGCCAAGGATTTAGCTCATTGGTTCCATTGCCTGCTTGGCAAGTGCAAGGATCCGAGTTCGATTTCCGGAACAAAAAAAAAGATTTGAATTTTAAATGTTATTTTTACTACATTAAGTATAATATAATATATAGAATTTGAGAGAAGTGAAAGAATCGGATACTTTTTTGTTCAAATACAATTTTTAAAGATCCCATTGCTAGCCATTTCAATGAGCTATGTTTTTATCATATTAAGAAAGGCAACAATAATTGTAGGTGATATTTGTTCAGGATATTAATCATGCTGTTTATTCTGTCAGTCCTTCTAATTATCATGGAAAGTAAATACAGTATGAAATAGCAGACTTAGCACTTTATTATTTTACCAGATATCACTAAATAAACAATGTAGCCTATATACTAAGTTTTCAGTCTTTATGCTTAATCTTCATGCCACAAGATAAAGCCAGTAGAATTAGGCTTAAATGGCCTATGAATTAGACCTGTAATTTCCTATTAACCTAGAAGTTTAGAAAACTGAATATGATTGAATTCAAGTATTTGTGTCTAAAAATTTATATATGTGTACATATTTTTATGTATGTACTATGTAGATATAATTACATTTATTTATGTAGTTACATGTAGGTGTCCTTCATTACTTTGCATTTTTATGGGAACACACTAACTGCAGTGTTTTAGAGGATCTATATGTTTAAATTTTTTATATAAGAATGATATATTTGCATAAGGTTAGATATAAATACTAATAACCAAATTCATGAAATTTATACTAGTGCTGACACCTGTTCATTTCGAATCTCCATGAACCCTTTGACTTTTTGTGAGCATAATTTCCTGTGTGTAAAATGAAAACTCTAACATCTTCATAGTGTATTACTTTAAATATGTGTATTTTTATCATAATTTGCAGATTAGTGAATTACAATATTCAAGTTGACATTACAATTCAACAATGAAAAGTAGGATTTAGAATTGTTACTTGTCCTTCTGGAAAAGACTGAAAAAGGAATCAGCCAGTTTTATTTCTAGGTTTTAACTAAAGCAAATGTGATAATACTACAAAAATTCAACCCATGAATTAGTAATAAAAGATAGTTTAATTTCCTTTATGCATGCCAGAAAATTGCAGAGTGAGATCTTTAAGCCTCATAACTACTTTTATATTGTGAGGGTACAGTAAAGAGTAGTTTGCTATGTAAATGGATTTTTGTATTTCTTCTGTATTTCACTAGGTTTTTTCATTTTCGTATAATAAAATTTGGATACATTAAAATTTAACTATAACATTTTATTATTTATTTATTTATTTATTTTCCAAAGTATATATTATATACGTAACCACACAAAAGACAGCACTTGAGTTTCCCCTGTAGCCAACAGGAAGAACTTCTACATATAAAAATTAAAAATTTAAACTTTTAAATCATTAGCAATTTTAAACATAATATGTACAGACTTAAAAATTGTTCAGCATTAACCCATGACCCCAAGCCTAGCACAAAAATCAACCGTATATCCAAAAGTCACAGTTTTTTATTCCTAAAAGTCCCATAGCACTGAACGTGATCTTCACATCAAGCTGACAGCCAATGTAAGAGCCCCTAACAGAAACCCACCAGGGAGGAATGGAAGCGTGATTGATGCTGCGTCTCTTACCTACCTGGCCGGCACTGGTGCACCTCTGAGGTCAGGTTGGTGACAGTCGCCCCCACACTAGGATCCCAGAAGTGGGAGCTGGCAGCTTCCCTCATCTTCCCCCTTGAAGTCTGTCCAACAAGCACCTGGGACTTTTTTTGGGAAACGGGTGCTGGTAACAGATGTCAGGGCTTAAGGCATAGTGAAAAGTTCAGTTCTCCACTCTGGATGAACTGTGTAAAACATTTTCTTAAAAGACACAATGTTAAGAATATTAGGAAAAATGTTTACAAAATCTGGAGGACTGCGTTTTATGCAAAGAATAAAGCTGTGGGGTGGTGGGAAAAGAATTGAGGACCCAGAAGTATAATTACAGCAAAATAGAGATTTTATATAGATTCATATTCTTTAGATAACTTTCAAAGGCAAATTTTCATTGAGCTTTTCTAACCAACACTAACAATCATATGTATATGTAAGTGTATATATGATTGTCATATATATCTACATGCACACACATTTTAGTACCAGGAATTGAACCAAGGGTCTTGTGCATGCTAGGCAAGTACTCTACCACTGAGCTAGCCAGCCTTACTATTACATATTTTTAAAGATACTATTTTTAGTGCTCATGAGTTGTGAACCAATGACCAAAGAGGAGCCTATCTTCGAATCGAACAGATAGATACATAGGTAGATAGATGTTTCCAAGGAAGCCAAAATAGTTACAAAAAGCAGATTGTAAACATGCTGAAGGCCTAACAACTTTTTCAAATAATTTTAGCAGGTAATGGTACTTTGGGTTGATTTCACAATCTTAGCAGCTGCAGGATAGTAACTTATGAAATGTTTTTGCCTTGATGACTGTGACTGTCCAAGATCTACCTGTGTGCATAGTTATCTGTGCTTAAAGATTTCGCTTTGGCCTTGTCAGTTGTTTCCTTGACATTTTGGTAGGCTTCTAAGCATAGAAACTTATCTCTGTGTTAGCTTTCTGTCATTTTGACGCAGGGCCTGAAAAAATCAACTTTTAAAAAGGGAACAATTATTTTGGCCCATGATTTCATAGGTTGTAGTCCATGGTCGATTGACTGTTAATTTGGGCCTGTGAAAGGTAGCGCATCATGGCAGGGAGCTCATCTCATGGTGGGGCAAAGCTGCTCACGCCATGGTGGCGGGGAAGAAGTCAGAGAGAAGAGAGAGCTAGATCTTAATACCTGCTTCAAGAGCCTGTCCCTAGTGATTTAAACTCTTCCCCACTTGGCTACACTTAAAAGTCCAACAACATTCCAGTAGAGCCACATGCTGGAGACAAAGCCTTTAACACATGAGCGCTTGTAGGACATTTAAGATCCAATCATGACAATCCTTAATGGAGAGAATTTTTCGATTTATTTCCTTAATGTTTTAGAAATTAAATGCTATTATCCTTCCCTTTAAGAATATTGTAGATACAGAGAAAATATAATAAAAATATCTAGTTCTTTTGATAGTTTTTTTCCCCGAATCTATTTCCTAGTAGTCTCATTTTTAATTATTATTTTAATAATTATTTTTAATTATTTATGTTTCTTTTAGAATCAGTAGTAATTGGTGAAATCTAGTTACTGACATTATTATTACACCTAGGTCAAGTGTTTCTAAATCTCTGAAATTTGTCTCACTTAAAAAGTAGACAAAACATCTTAAGGATTTCTGGGAAAAATAAACTGAACAAATACTAGAGATTATAAGCACTTAGCATAATAAGTACTCAATATTTACTGAGCGAGATCTCTTTATCCACTTTTCTATAACTGTAAATTGCCTTTTGGATTAATTTGAACACCATACATTTAGGTTAATAAAGTAAAAGGGAATTTGAACTTTTTGAAACTATTCTGTATAATTAATGTTATTATATCTAGAGCCATGCTTTGTGTGTGTGTGTGAGTGTGTGTGTGTGTGTGTGTGTTTGTATGTATAGTTGCTCCGGTATAACTTAGTATATTTTATTGTGTTTTGTTGGAAAAATCAAAGTCATTTACATTTCTCATATCGTGTTTTTTACATACTCCAGTTACACATTCATTTATTATCCTTATCAAGTATAACATACCATATGCAATTACATGTGCTCTACTTTGATATGACTGATTGTAAAGAGTTACTCCTGCTCGCAGGACCACTGACTATGAGTAACATGGTGTGCTAGGCTCTTACAATAGCTACCCTGTTACTAGGCAATAGGAATTTTCAGCTCCATTATTGTCCACCAGATCATAATCCTACGTCCTCTAATATTTTTTAAATGTCAAATTTTAAAGCACCAGTAGCTTCTAATGGAACAGAAAGCATATTTGTTATTTATATCCCAAGTTCTTCTAAAACATTAACTACGGATTGTCTTTTAAAAAAGCCATTTTTCACTATCTGAACACACAATGTATGTGAAATATATGTAAAAAAATAGAGTAAAAGAAAAATTATTTTTCTCTTAACCATGCTGTCAATTGAAGGTGTTATTGAGAATTTTAAATACTGAGTGATACTTTTTGTTACATTTTCCATATTACCAAAAAACTGTGTAGCTGACAGAAAGAATATTAACAAAGACAACTAATGAGAATAAAAAATTTACAATTATATCTGATTTGTAAGACTATAGTATTATTTGAATTAATCAGAAATATATGGATAAAGAAAAATAATGAAAAAATGTGCAGAATTATTAATGACTGTTAAAATAGTGTTTTGTCATTTTGGGATTTTTTTCTTGGTTTTCTATTATAATATTCTTTCTATAGAGATTAGCATCCTGTGATCTTCAGGCTGGATTGTAAATAAAATTTTACTAGAGCACAGTTATTACCACTTAAAAAATTATTAATGGCTACTTTTATTCTGAATCTGTCCAGTGGAATAGTTACAGAAATAATATTGGTAACAAAACCTAAAACATTTATTTTCTGGATCTTTTCATCAAGGAATTTCAGACCCTTATTTTAGAATAAAATTAAATTTATGTATACATAAAATGAAATAGAATATTATTGTTGATCTCCAAGTAGCAAGATAGACCTACCATTTGTGACAGTGGATGAACCTGGAGAACATTATACTAAATGAAATAAACCAGATACAAAAAAAATAGAAGATGCAGTATGATCTCACTGGTGTATAGAATCTAAAAGATTTGAATTCATAGAAGCACTGAGTAGAACAGTATCTCTACAATTAAGGGTAGGTAGTAAAAATGAGAAGCTGTTGTTCAAAGGGTACAAAGTTGCTACAGGATACTAAGTCTAGAGTTCTAATGAACATCATGAAGACTGTAGTTAATACTGTAAGCATATTGGAAATTTTCTAAGAAAGTAGAATTCAGATGTTTTTGCAACAGTAAAGAAAAATAGTAACTATGTGAAGAGATGGATATGTTAATTAAATTGTAGATAGTAATCTTTTCACTCTTTGTTTATATCAAGCATTATATTTAAATATAGGCAAATATTTTTTAAGAATAGGAAGTTAGAACCATCTCTGCAATAATCAATAAAGGGAATAATGGAAAGCAATAGAAAGGCAATAGACCAAGTCACAAGCTAGTGTTCTGAAAGCACATGCTAAAATTAGTCTTTATTAACTTACTTCAAACATTACCATGCCACTGCAAGTATAGTTCTCTTTATCCTCTGCATTCCAATTGAAAGATGCCTATGAATGGAAGGAAAATGTTATAAAGAAGAAAACTGAGTAATATGAACAATTATATGACTTTCAAGAGCTGAGTAAGGAGCCATCACTTCACCGAAAACAAACAAACAAACAAATAAATAAAAAGATGTAAGAGAACTAAGACACGTTTAATTTAATTGATGTGAGTTCAGCTGTATTTGGTTGTATGTTATTTTCTTCCACAGGAGAGTGGTTGTTTTATAGCTTATCTTATAGCTAGCAGTTATGTGTTGTTAGTCATATCCAAAACAAAAGTCCCCCCCCAACACATTCAACAAATAATATTGTTGAGACCAGGGGAATTTCAGTGCTATGAAAATACATAAAATGTTATCACTCAAAAAATAGTAACTAGCATCTGTTTTGGATATGCATTAAAATTAATATAATTCCTTGAAATTATACAATTTCTAATACTATGGGTTTTAAAAAGATGCATAAAAATTATTTTTAGTATTCTCAATTATTAAAAGTATAAAAATTCTAAAATAGGCTTAATTCTTTATAATTTGTCAGATTTAATACATGATCCTTTTTATACTTTGTGCCAAAAATTCTAAAGTCAGAATTTTAAGATTAAGACACTCTTTTACTTTGTTTTGTTCCAGTTCCATTTACCTTATGTTTGAAAATAAAATTGATAGTTTTTGTTGCTTATTTGGCATTTCAGTTTTTATCTAAATTTTTAACTTCACTTTGGGTAATTTTTGTTCCCATAAACAGTTGAAGTGTTTTCAGTTTTTAGATCATTGCAAAGTCATATATCTTACATCATTTTTTCTTTGAATTTCTGATAATTTTCTGAATATAATGGTATTATAAATATTTATAAAGAATCATATTATCATTATTACTGGACAGTGCTCTTTTAGTAATCAATAAGAATGATATACAAAAATGGAAATAAAATTTAAACTGTTCTTTCTTTTTTTTGTCTAGATTATTTGAATTTCAAATAAAGGATCAGTAATGCCACCAACGCCAGCTACCCCGCCTCAGTACCCACCTCCTGATGGAGGGTGGGGCTGGGTGGTAGTTGGAGCTGCTTTTATATCCATTGGGTTTTCATATGCATTCCCCAAAGCAGTCACAGTGTTCTTCAAAGACATTCAGGAAATATTCAGCACATCCTACAGTGAAATAGCCTGGATATCATCCATAATGCTGGCTGTTATGTATGCAGGAGGTAAGATTCTTGGAAGAAGTAGAATTCTGGGTTAGGAAGACGGTTCCTTCATGTCATATGTTTTTCATGCATGGTCTTGGTATATGAAAGCCCTGTTTTTATATTACAGTTAATCAGAGGAATAATCAGAAATTAATTTTTAATAATTTAAGATCTTAATTATTCAGTTCATTTTTAATTTTAAGAGTATTTGTGCAAACCAAAATATACTAAATTATAGAATTTCCCAGTGAATCACTTTTCCATGTAATTTACAATGAAGGGTACATTATAATGTTGGTACTATTTTTTACTATTGCTATTACTAGCAGAAATGCTTTCTTCTGAATAAGAAGGAAGCTTAAACTGCTGACAATATATATGCCCAGAAAAATACATTGCATTATACAGGAAAATTGAGTACTATTGTATACATTTTGGACTCATTCAAATTTAAGAAAGTGAACTAATTCCTTATTGCCATAGGATTCACTAAATGATGACATTTTTCTATTCAAATGGTTTTCAAATGATTACTTTGTTACATTCTATGTTAAAATAAAGGTGTGAGTCAAGAGGAATAATGAATTAATCAGAGTACCATCTCGCTTCTAGTTTTTAAAAAATAGAATTCATGCATTATTGTGTGACCTATGATCTTTAAATCAGTTTTAATAGGTGACAGGACTGCCATATATTTTTTCAAGTCCTTATTTAAAATATATGGATTTTAGACTTTCACATTTTTTAATTGGATATTCCATTTTAAGGGACAGTTATGGACACAGAATATAAAAATTTTTTAAATTGCGTAAGTTATCTAGTGTCATTTTTTGGTTTTACAAGTAAACAGAAAATGTTCTTAGTGAAGGATATAAAGCATTAGTAATAATATCCAATATTTATTACTATTTATTTTCATTCAAGACCTCTCACCATTTGATATGTGTGATACGAATTAATCCTCCCAACAACCTGTGAAATAAGTGTTATCTTCTCTCTATTCTGAAGAAATAGAGAGATAAAATGCTTCCCCAAGTCAGACAGCTCATTAGTGGCAGATAAAAATGAGACTTCAAACATTTAATCACTGTGCTATCTGCTTACTTTCCTCCTTTCATCTAGAAAATGACAAAGCCAGGTCTAAACCAGGCCTTCTGCTAAGATGCAGTGCTCTTTCCTTACAATGTAGTGACCTGTATTCTATCTCTGCCAAGGTCATTTGATCAGTGACATTGAAGATGTTTTCTCTTTGTTGCACTACTGAAGAAAAATGTGATGCTGAGATAGATGTGTGTGTGTGTGTGTGTGATATGTTAATATTTTTCATTTTTTTGTTGTTGTTTACAAGTTATTTTTAACTAACCCAGCATAGGATTGGTTAAACTGATACATTTTTATTTTAATATCACAAAGTATCATTAAAACACTTTTTGGGTATATCAATGAAAACTATGTACCTGATATACTTTTTAAGAATCTCTTTTGGATAATTGCTTGAAGGATTGTAATATTTTTTTTTCTTATAATTATACAGAAGGTAGGTATTGTGCAGAGGAATTGCTATTCTGTTCTGTGTTAGGTGTTTCTAAATGATACTTCACTAGAACAACAGACAGTCATCTTGACCGGATCTCCAAAAACTGTTAATGTTAAGATTGGCCCTCACCCTTAAATGCAAGTAAAACAGACTTTTCTAGTGAGGTGATATAGATTGATTTAGATTTCAAATACTTTTATGGTCATAATTTTCTGTTGAGAAGATTGCTGATTAATTCATAGGTAAGACAAAAATTGATATAACTATTTAGGTAAGTCCAATGTTATTCTACTTATTTTTTAGCATACAAATTCAAAACTTCTGGCAAAAAGCAGTATAAATTTATTTCTTGATCCAGCCATATTTTGTCTAGGGACTATGCTATCACCCAGGGCTTTTCACTATTCCCCAAATCTGCTCCATCTGCTAAACAATGAATGAACATAGACCGTACGTCAGAAGATCATATGGAATCATTGAAAGTCAGGCCTCAAAGGAATAAACTTCATTTCTGATGCCCATGAAGGACAAAACACTTGGCTACTCAACACGCAGTCAAAATCTCCTATTATGATCTCCACCAGGGTGAATCCTTCCTGACCCCTCTTGTCAGAGAGCCCCAGTGGTCCACTGCTCTGAAGGCCAATCCCACTCACTGGGGTCCTGGAGTTACCATTTTATCTGGCCTATCTGGAAAATATCAGTGGACTTACTAACTTGGGAAATCTGCCCAGCCATTAATAATCATCAGTTTAGTCCTGTGTAAATCTAGCAGTCTGAGGAGTAAAGTGAAGTTTCAGAGTACAAATACTTTGTCTCCCTAAAGAGCCTTCATTGCTGGGAGAGGCTCTTGTTGTCTATAAGTAAAGAACATAGTTCACTGAAGATGATACAGAAAACAAAAAAAATTTGCCAGAAATTAAAAACATATGGCAAAGTACAAAGTTCCTCAGAGAGACCGATATCGGGATGGCTAGAATTCAAAACCGAAGTAGTGGTTAGGAAAACAATCAGGAGAAAATATAGCAAAAAGGTCAGGAAATATTGTCTTTCCAACATCAAAACACATCACAAAACCAAAGTAACTAATTCATCTTGAAGACAGTGCTGGATGGAATAAACAAATAGATACATAGGGCATTAACAAGCCTGATTCCAAACTAATAATTTGTTCAGTAACTCCTCATTGGACACCTGGCTTTCCACTGTGAAAAACATGAAGGTAAGTCCCCATCTAGCACCACACTTAAAAATGAATTCCAATTAAGTTAAAAAAAACCCTTTGTTTCTGCCACACATTGCATTGGTCAGAACTCTCATATTGCCCCACCGAGATACAGGGGTAATAGGAAATGCAGCTCTTCTAAAGGAAAAGTCAGTCAAAACTGGACGTCATCCAGCCAGTACTACATAGGACTTTATAGCTCTGTAATCCTTCACTAGCATTAGGAGCAAAATGTGTTTACAGATGTGCCTTCCACAACTTGGCATAGATCCAAACAGAACATTACAACGACAAATACTCCTAAATATGATTTTTCTCAGAAAACTAAATCTCAGTATGAGATTACAATAAGTAAATACTTATACTAGATTTGTTATAAATAAATGTGTTCATATTATTGAAACATTTTCTTTTAAAAATATATACAGTATAAATTTGAGAAGACAAATAGAACTCTTGAAAATCATTAATAAAAATGGTAGTTTTGTGTTTATAAATTCGGAAAAGATTACCATAAAATATTTAGGATTGTAGATTGATGAAATATGTTTACATTAAAGATTAACAAGTATTTAGTATCTGGTTCTTTCAAGAAATCAATGCTGGATACATGGACATACATATTGTATAGTAACTGAGGATGGTAATATGTAGGTGAAGCCAAGAAAGTACTTGAAATGTTGCCCAAAGCCCTCATTTGATAGGGCTATAACATTTTACATGTTATCCATGGCCAGAGAGGAAAGTTAGAAATAGCAGAAATTCTGTTATCCATTGATCTTTCTCATAAATCTAGAAACATAATTCCAGGCCCCTTTCCTGTAGGATAAAAATGCAAACTGTGGCATCCACTATCGGATGTAGATCTTAGACATTTACATGGCTTGTCGAAAATAATATCCATATCTAATCCTGGTAATTACTGTTTAATCTTTTAACAAAAATAACTTGCACATTTAAAGCAGTAATCTTAATATGAAACGTTTTGCTTATGTGGTTGCAGATCATTTTTTTCATATATAACTATTTAGAACAAAAATATAATGGATTCAATTAATCTAAAGCACAGTTATTAGTTCCATTACTCAGTTACAGTGCTTTTGTTCTTTCAAGTGCAGTTCATAGCATTTCTGTTTCTGAATAATGGGTCTGTTTGTAAAAGTGGGTAGTCTTCAGCCTTATAAGAAACTCCTTTTATCAGAATTTATTTTGGTAATCTTGGACTCTGAAAACCACCTTTTCTTTATATACAATACGGAGGTTCACTGTTGTAAAAAAAAATCAATATTTTATTTTAAAATATTAAAATTTGTTGGTAGTTTTTAATAGATCTCTACTTATAGAGGCCTTTTTGGTTGATGATTATAAAATAAATTCAAAGACCACGAGGTGAAAAGGCATATGGTTTCCTATAAAGTATAATGAGTCTGTCTACCAAGTAACTGAAATACTCTGTTCAACATAATGCTAATTACATTAACCCCGAGAACATCTAAGATCTGACACACTCATTAAGGATCAGCACTAAGCCTATTAATCACTACACTACGGAGGGGTCATTGAATAAGATGGAGCGTGTTCTGAGGCCTGGCCTGTGATGTCAGGGCCTGAGTCTCTTGTCGTAATTAGGTGGCACCTGGGCCTTGGTAGCAAGGTATTATTTTCCCTTCTGATGTCTGAATTAAAAATGAGGCTAATAAAAGATGCAGGAAGAATGAGAAAGAATGCAAATTATGTTTATACCGTACTTCATCCTTAGAATAATGGCACTAAATTAAAGCAACCCATCTGGCTGTCCATATGGTCTCCTGGAGTTCTAGAAATTTTTAGCAAATAGGTCAAGTAAAGTGGCCACCCCATTAATACAGAGCTAAGTAGAGGAAGAAAACACATTTTAGCTTAAACTTTGTACATTGTTTAGAGAGGTACAGGGATTTATTTTGTAAATGGTGATTACATATGATTAGGTTTTACTGCGGTGTTCATCTATTATTCTGTCGAATGAGAATTACTGATTAGCCGCATGACTACCGAATACAGATTTTCAGCTTCCAATCTGTACCAGATTCTCTTGTGTTTTTTTCTGGTGTCGTCTGTTCTGATTTGAAAGAATCAGCCACTCTGGAGAACATATTTGGCTTTGTCTTTCTGATAATGTATTCTGTTGTGTATGGGTAGTGCTTACCAAATGTGCTGAAGTAAAGGTTATGGTTTTATGATGGACCACTATATGTAGGTGACCAAGCATTGTGCCAC